AAAAAAAAAAAAAAAAAAAAAAAAAAAGAAAGAAAAAAACTTTCCCTATATTCCAAAGAAACAAGTGGCACTTTTGTGACCAGTTTGAAGAAAAAGCCAAATCAAAATTATTAAATAAAAGCCGGCACTTACTATATGTATCCATAATCATCCATAAACTAAAATCCTTGTACTTTTCACGCAGATTAAGGTACACGTAATTAGACAATCATAAAATTTTCTAGCATATTCCTTTTATTTAATAATAACACTAAAATGAAATTGATTGATAAATATGAATAGTTGGCCTTCAATTATTACTCCCTCGTTTCATATTAGATGTACTTAATTTAAAGAATATTGTTCGCTGTAATTAAATTGTTTGACATTATATATAATTTTACCGATTAACACATGCATATTTTAATTTTTATTATGTATTTAATTATTTCTCTTGATTAATAAGGTTTATATAGTTATTTAATTAATTCCATTTCTTGATTTTGTATGCACAATATTCTAAAACTACAACTCGTTCAAATGAAAAGAGTATTGAAAAACGGAACATGCCAAAATAAGTGGAATATTTTAGTGTGACACAAAAAATAATATATTCTCCTTCATAAATGTTGCCTCTGTATTCACATGCATGAAAGTTAGGTAAAATCCAAATCATTGACAATCAACACACATGACACATGCATTAATTGAATGAAAAGGATTAGGCCACGTACGAACCTATTAGACTAACCTCATCATGGATCTCACAAAAATCAGACTAATTGTCTACAGATCGACTTATCATCATATATTTTTATATTTATAAAAATGTTTATTTATAACATAAAGCGTCATATTTTTATTTATACTATTTTTAAGATAAAAAATTTCAATTCAAAAGTATGTATGTAATTTGAAAAAATTATAATCTGTCTAATCGTTATATCTGTCTAACAAAAGACACAACAACTACATATAAAATATCTTGCATCCCATCTAGATAGTACTCCAACTAAACTTACATAGTCATAAGATAAA